TTTGCTAAAAAGACATCAATAAAATTTTTTTTAATCATTTTTAAAATACTTAATTAAAATTTCTTCTCTTAATTTAATTAATTTTATTCATTATTTTGACGAAAAAGAATCCTTTTTTTTTTATACTTTACAATGTATTTATGTCTAAGCTATATTTTCCGCAGTGCGTCACTCGCACGTTGAACCTCACCTGTGCTCGAAACAAGGCAGCAAATGAAAATCGTGCCGGCGAAACGCAATGTCGTCATCTTGAATGTTTGCACTGCAAACAACAGGGCAAGACCAAATTGCAAGAGGTTGTTTTTCAAGAATTTCTCAGATTGTTTTACCTCCGGAACGACATCTCCTGCTTCTAATCGCGTCACTGATGTACCTGTGCAAACGTTGTTACGTAACGCCGTTATCACGTATAAAAGCTGAAATTGGCACGCATAACATTAGACTTAACCGCGTTAGACTTGCTGTCGAGTGGAAAAGCGGCCAAACGCAATCATCCGTCAACGGTTTCTTTTTAAGGAATTCTCCCTCCTATTTTCAAGGTTTCAAGATAATGCAACGTTTTCTCATAAGCGAATTCACGTTTGCATGCCGTTTTTACATCGTATTTTGTTTTAGTTTCGCTATCTTTTAATACTACATAAGCACACAATGTAATCTGCGCGATAGCGGCTTATGGCAGGATTTATTTCGTGAAACATGAATTCTGTTGAAACTCGTGTGTTCGATAAAATAAATCCTTCTATAATCTGTTCGTTATATAAGTCGTTTTTTTTATCGAATACGGATAGATACAGTGCGCGTATTTACATTTCACAGTAAAAAAAATGTTTTTATTTAATTGCAATCCAAAATATTCTCTTGAGAAGCAAACATTCCCTTTTGCTCGTAAAGATTAAAAAAAATTGTCAAGTGTTAAGTCATACTTGAATCGTAGGAATCATACTAATACATTATTAATAGTCGAATGTGTGATACAATATCTATATATGATGGCTCATACTTAATACTCATACTTAAAACAGTAGGTAATGAGAAGAATAACTGATGATAATAGCAAAGCTATTTTTGCATTGACACGTAATCGCGCATTTAGCTGATAAGTTTAAAACGTGAATAAAAAAGAAGCTTTTAAGGCAGTCTACGTTTTATAATCTTACGTTTTATTTCAAAGATAAAAAATTTGGTAAAAATACTGCAAAATATATACAAATTTTAAATAAATAAACCCATAATTTTGGTGCGTTTGTAGTTTACGATTATATAAAACCGTATTTTTGTGACAATATATACTTTTTCTATTCTGCAGAAAAAGTTTCAAGAAAAATGTTTACACAAATCGCTTTAAGTATTGTAAAAAACAGCGTTAGAGATAAGCCACATAAAATGTTGAAACAAGATAAATAGATTCGTATATCCTACGATTTTTATACTTTGCGCAAAAAGAAGGATTGAACTCGTGATCTCTTCGAGCCTAGAACTCGTTTAAAAAAATCGCGAGTTCAAGTCTATCGTGTACTTTGTACTTTGTAAGCGTTCACTCACGCTCTTGTGCAAACGCTGATCCGTCATTGAGCTCTCCTAGCAGCGATCGTCACACTTAGCTGAGACGTGCATCGTCGGGTTAGAGATCGGAGCACCTCCTGCGCGACTTCAGCTTCATGAGCTTCTCATCGAGCCGCGCTCGTGATTCACTCTCGATGGACATCCATCCTTTCGTTCTGCCAACGGAGAGTGAGATTAACGCCGGTACGTGCCGGCTTACCGTGCAACTGCGAAGCGGACACGTAACGAAATGAAAAGTAATCGGCGTGCACCGTGCCACAACGGCGGATACGAGGAAGAGCAGAGGGGCATTCCATCCGCCTGCCTCTGTGATCGAACGATCGGATGCGGCTGGGGAAATACCAGCACCGCGCTACCATCCATTCACCGGTATTGTCGTTAAAAAAAAAAGGAAAAAGAACGATGGCGAGGTCGGCAAACGATTATCTGGGATGTTCCGCGCCGCCCAAGTGTGCGACGTTCGCTCACCGTTGACACAAATTCGGCCTTCGTCGCATCGTTATCGCTTAAAAGTACTCGATACTCACGTGAAACGAAGACGAGCTGTTGGCTATTGAAATAATGTTAAAGATATACCTAATATTGAATCGCCTAGATGATTATTAGCGTGATTATAGTATGCAGATCTAAGGGAAAGTAAATTGTTCACCAAGTGGTATTTGGGGCAATTTTCAAAAATCAAAATCGTTGGGAGACTAAGCATCATTTTGAGATAAATAAGAAAAAGATATTTGGTTTCACAAATCTCGAAATAAATTATTTAAGAAACTACTCCGAAACTGTTTAGTGAAATGTTCCAATTGTTACAACGAAATTTCCCACGGTGTAACCATTAAAATTGATCAAGCATCGGAAGCCTGTATCGATAGCGAACATCGAAACTAGTGTCCTTCATTTTATGTAACTGTCTGGCATCGTTTACGCTCGTTAACCAGTGGCACATATATCGATACAGCAAGACAGCATATCTAACACACTTCGTAAAATAAGAGACTATTTGAACATATAATAACAACATGATATAACGAAATTACATGCTACTTTCTCGAAATTTCGATATAATGGTGCGTTACGATAGAGATACTTTTCTGGAAATATTCTGGAATATCTCAAGATCTTAAATGGTAATTTTAATTTTGATATTGACGAAATATTTAAAAGAAACTATATTGTAGAGAAAAAAGTTTACAATTTATTTTAATTAAATTATTTTAATTTATTTTACTTTTTTAAAATCTATTTTATTAAAAAATTGTTCACATGTAAGTGAAAAGTGCAATTACAAACAATATTTATATGAATTGAAGGCTCTGATTTATGTACTCATTTCAAAATAAATGTCTTCGCTCTCACTTCCCATGGAAAGTATGTTTTACTTTCGTTCATATCATATATTATGCTAATATTCTTATTACTAAACGTAAGTGAAATCATGTCGATTTGTCTATTTGAAGTAGATGCGTCAAACTGCGGGTATGATGGTCTTACGTAAATAACGCATTTCTCAATGACTTGCGAAGTAACTGTAATAAACATTACCGATGTTTCATTTTATGAGCTTATGGTATCTTCAAAGCTACGGAACAATTGTTTCGGAATAGAGATACAACGAAATTCTCTAATACAAATTACGCAAGATGTTCCTAAATGAGATACAGATTAGAAGTTTTTTATATATTTATATATTATTTAAATTAAACTAAATTTGAACAACATTAATTTTGATTTTGTTTTATCTTTTCTCTCAAAATTACCTTTATTCTTTGAAGTCCATTTTTTATTTAATTATTCTCTTAGCCTTTTAACTTTTTTATTCGATTGTTTTGTCTTATTTAACTTTTGTTCCACATTTCACCAATTTAAAACCTTTAAAGCTCAGTGATTTTAAATTATGTGCGATACAATTGCTCTTTTGGTATTGCAATCTACATAATGCGATTTGGAATCCGAATGGCATGTACAACAATGAGCGCAATTGATCCGATCAATTCAATCATTTTACGTAAATCGATCTCATCGTTTTCCGATGAGCAAGCCGATGTCATTGGCCCGTATAAATGAAAGTCATTTCCTTATTACAGATAGAATGTATGAAAAGGCATGTAGGATTTCAAATAGATAATAGTAAATGACAAGCAAAGTGCATTTAAACGAAAGCGCATATTTATTACTTGAATAGAAATATTTACAAAAATATTTATTATACACGTTTCGTTATTTATATCTTTAACAATCATAATTAGTTGAAAAGAAATCACTAAACGCAGATATAAATGTTTTAGTAAGTATATAAAAAATATCCGCACTCAATGCACCTTGGCGTACATTAATTAAAGACATCATTATATAAATGAATGTAAAGATATATTTAATTCCGTCTGCAACTTAGGTCTTTTTTGACACGAGCGAATTTTCTTTCTGAAATTTTTTCCTTATTTTTCAAATTTCAATTTTATTACATTTGAGTTAAAAAATTATTTAATATTATGTAATAGAAAAATAATCTTGAATTTTTTCACATTTTTCAAAACCTAAAACAGCAAAATAACTTGAGCTGGACAAAACAAATTCAAATTGTAAATGAAAAGTTAATACAAATATAGAAACGAGTTAAAGCGTAAAATTCTCAATACATTTTATTGTGCTGTTAGATAAAACATTACATTTTATAATTTGAAATACGTGTGTATTTTTTACACTCGAATTAAATCAGTACAATCTCATAAAGCCATTTTATTAAAAAAACATCCTGGAAACGTCCTTAGGACGTAGAATATTTGTTGTATGAGACATATATGGCTTTAATAAACTATGTCCAACCGAATTCACAAATACATCATAGACGTCAACTTATATGTTAAGAAAAATTTATAATAATATTACAGTTGCAATGTATTTAACAAGAAATAGCTTTAATTCTATCATCAAAAAACATTTCAAAAATACGTCAAATATACAAATTATCCTTAATTGTATGATAAAAATTTAAAAAACATGATCTCAAAACATCTATAATATATATAATGATAAAAATATAATTTTAAAAGAGTGTATGTGTGTGTGTGTGAGTGTGTATGTGTGTACATTAGAATTCATACAAACGTTCTCCCTACAATAAATAATAGGATTTCAATCTTCCAGAAACAGTGTATTTAATTTTTGATAGATTGAAATATGTTGAATAATTCTTATTTCTTATTTCTTTCATTATACCATATACAGTTGGCATTAATTGAGCAATTATAAAAAATAAAAAATTACAGAAAAACTGTTTTATCAGCAATCACGAATTTAGCAAAGACACGAACCTCTTGACTGCTCCAATAGTAAGTAGGATTACAGGGAATTATTTTATCGACAATAATTCGCGTCTACTCCACAAGAGAGCGCTGAGGCAATTAGGACGCGAGCAAACAGTACATTTACGTAGTGCGATTCGTCGCGAGCAGTTGTGAAGTTGTGTTTGATGTTAGTACTGTCGTCGTCTTGTCAGTGCATTCATTGTATCCATTTTTAAAGTGAAATTTTCGTGCGTCTCCTCAACGAGAAGATTGAATGGGCGGGATATAACTTCGACAACTTGGAGCCACTTGGACGTCAGTCGCGACGAAGAGAACGGTATCGCGACTGCCCGTGTAAAATGTTGCCTAGCGCGATTGACAGCAAGTCAGCTTCGTCGCAGCGCGTAATCCAGTACGTGCGAGAGGCGACACTGTGAAACGAGAGGAGAAGGAGGAGGAGGCGGAAGAATATAACGCGGCGCATCCACCAAGAGAAAAGAAGACAAGGACGGAGTGGAATCTTGACGTTGACGAGAGGGTGGAGAGCGCGACGGGAAGAGAAAGAGAGAGAGTGAGGAGGGGGAAAGGGAGTGAGAGAGAAAGAGAGCATTGTCCTCCGCGAGGAGAGCATCGTGTTGTCCTTGCCACGACACTAACCTCAGTCGGTGCTGCGCGTTCAGCCGTGTTACGATCCGTCGTTCGTCGATCCCTGACGTCCGTCCATCCGTCTCGGATCTGTCAATTAAAGAGAACCGCGCGAGAGTGACCTGAAAGAGGCGTTATCGTTGATTCGATCGCGGGATGCCATCCCCGCCGACGCCGTCGTCGTCGCTCTCGTCGTCACCATCGTCGTCATCGTCGTCGGCGTTACGCTAAAAATATGCGGCAGTGAGAAACGGACGGCGGAGGCACCGCCTGTGGCAGAGCGTAGCGGTTGGCTCTCGGCTGCGTGTCCGGTGGTGCCGGACGACGGCCAGAAGGAGCGAGGGGGAGGGGAGGAGGAGGAGGAGGAAGAGGAGGAAGAAGAGGACGCAGGCAAGAACCCCCATTCGGCAACGATCAAGGGGGTGATCATCGTGCGACAATCCACCGAAAGGGAGCACCAAGGAAAATGGCGGACCTCGAGGCGGTGCTGGCCGATGTCAGCTACCTGATGGCTATGGAGAAGAGCAAGTGCACGCCGGCCGCCCGTGCCAGCAAGAAAATCGTTCTGCCGGATCCTAGGTACGCACTCCTCATCGCTACGTGATTTCCGTGTGGCGTTGCGTGCGGTTCGATACGAAGGAGGAGAAAGAGAAGGAGGAGGAGGAGGAGGAGGAGGCGGACGGCTCGGCGGGGGGCCGTCCATCCGTCCGCCTCTTTTTCTTCCCTGCTCTTCCTCCACTGTCGCCGACACGACGTCGTCGTCTCCCTTCACCGGGAGCCCGCGTAAAAACTCCGCGGGACCGCCAAGAATAAATAATGTTTACAAACAAAACCACTGTTGACCAGTCGCCGAGGGCTCGACACTACGCGTGTGCCTCGTTTACAGCTGGCTCTCAGCCGGCGTCGAATTTTCGATCTCCAATGTCTAGAATTCATTTCTGCTCATTTCTACGTAATGTAGTTTCATTTTAATCTTTCTCTCTTTTTCTAGTTTGAAGAATTAGAAAAAGATTAAAAGTAAGTTGGATCGAGGTTGAAGTTAATCTATATTGGTAGAAGGCATTACAATCGAGATTAAAATTGAACTGCATTGGTAGAAATGGGCATAAGAATTAGAAAAAGATGAAGTTGAACTCGAATCTCACTTAATCTGTATTGACAGAAACGAGCATTAATAATTCGCGAGTTTCGCGATCCATCCGAAAGATCATATGGATTCACGCGATCTTAGCAAAGACAAGTTCACATGGGATGATCGATCCCTCCTGCATTTTAGAAATGATTAAATCATCCACCCCGTGACATTTTGACGTTTAAAGTTCCTTCGAGAAGGTAGAGTAACCGGTAATCTACTTTCTGATTCCTCACGCGATGATATTGACATCCCGTATCAATTTATGTGCACAAATATGTAACCCACGTACGATATACTCGTTAAACTTTTGATTTACCTTTGAAAGATTTAATACCTAGGATAGAATAAATTTCATTCCCTCTCTTCCGTCCTTCGCTATCTCTGTTTCTCTCGAAAACCTTCTCGCCGATCGGTACTTTGCATCGATTATAACTTGCCAATGTTTACACTATTCGCGTTATTTTCGGTCGGCAAACCACGGATGTTAACCGTAGCTCTCGGCCTCATGAAAATAAGTCGATTCGGTAGAGCGAACTTCGTTTTTGCTGGCGACATGCCAAAGATCTGTGAAGTTAGCATGACACTCTAATAATGTAAAAAAAAGTGACAGTAGCACTTTTCATAGTTGCAGTTTTCTTATAAAAATATGCCATTTTTTTCTACTAAAAAAATCATAATTAGCACACCTTCAATTATTAGATATATCTTCAATTTTGGTTTTTAGTGTAAAACATGTGAACAATTTTTAGTATAAAATTTGTGAAACTTTTTTTATTTTTATAAGGAAGTGTAAAATTATGAAAAATGTGTGTACTGTAATTTTTTTATATTAATAGAATGTCGTGTTAACCTCAGATTCTTTTTAAACATGATATGTGAAGTTAGCACGACATTCTATTAATATAAAAAAAATAAAGTACACACATTTTTCATAATTTTACACTTCCTTATAAAAATAAAAAAAGTTTCACAAATTTTTAGTTTCTTAATAAAAATAAAAAAAGAATAATTTTTTATACTAAAAAACCAAAAACGAAAATATGGCGTGCTAATTTCGCAAATCTAGCACGATATTTTCTTCTCGAAAGTACAAAAAAAAACGGTAAATATTGCTATTTTTGACGGCAGTTCCCGTCACTAATTACCAATTTTTATACACTCTGAGTACAGAAAACGATCGGAGAAAAAAATGGAGCTAGCACTTCAAATTGTCAAATGTTATTTTTTTAAATCAACCGAACTATTTCTAAAATCTATCAGGAACTATATAGAACTATTAAGGGTACAAATAGAAGTTGCATTGAAACTTGTGGTGCAAAAAGATGAGGTGCCAACTTTACACGTGCCACACCAAGCGAACATTTCACGCGGTCGAAAGCGACGAATAAGGGAAAACATTACGTGTTCGAGGGTCACGAAGGGTGCTGTCAGCAAAAGTCAGAAACTTTTACAAGTAATCGTCGTTCGGAAGCACGTGTTTTCTCCCTATTTTATTTCTCTTTTATAACCGGAAAATGTATATGTCAAAATTAAAATTGTAGAGACTGATAAAAATTTTACAAATCGCAAAATTGAAAGACGCTCGAGAACCCCTATTAAAAAATTTAGTTAGATCTGAAAAATAATTTTGATGGACATCAAAATAATTATATTGAATCATTAAAATAATTATGTTGGATCGTTAAAATAATTATGTAAGAGGTTCAAGCATGACGACAATGCTACAAAAAAAATGTTGACATTCTGGAGCAATCAATTTGAGCGTCCTTAAGTAATTATCTTGATGATAAAATTCTGTTTAGATCTATATCTAGATAAATACTGGTCTATTTGTATCTAGCTAATTGCTAGATACTTCAGCAAAATCGTTCTTTTTGTATAGACAATAGATCTGGAAATATACTCAATAAACTGGCTTTTCATAAATAATAAACCATCGGAACGTTCCGATCATACACATTCATTTCTCTTGCTCTTGATTAAAACCTTAAGTTTATAGCCTAATAAAGTCCGAAATGTATATTTTTAAGGACACTTCTTAACATACAATTCAAATTGTTACTAATTCGCTTTTGAAAAATTGTTTTCAGTCCTTCGCATCCGTTTGATTTATCTCTGGATTGACGTAAAATCGAGCGCATCGGCGATACGTTTGACGGCCAAACTCCTTCGTAGTGCTTAGGATCTATTCATTTACGTAATTAATTTTATGGCTCAGCTGTGCTTCACGCTCGCGAAGAGCTAATAGAATCAGTAGGTCGCGTGTCACGAAGTGTCCTTGCGCAAATACACACCGGACACATCCTATTAATACATCCTATCCCGTGCATCCATACTCTTTACATCAACGGCAAATTGTATATAATTCATTTTTATTATTTTCGACCTTCGTTACGACCTTATAAAAAAAAGAAATGATCGATTCCGATTAGCGAGGAAATCGCTCTGTTTATCTTCCGAAATTATCTTCCGTGACGCGATAGTTTTGTCAGTCATTCTCTCACATAATCAGAGAACTTGGCACACCGAACTTGGTGCGTGAATGAATGGACCACGTTGAATATCGGATTACATAGCTGTGTCTGTTAAGGGAGTCTTAAAATCCATCTTGAAATATTTCGATTCTCCCGTCGTGTCGTTTTGAACGACGTATCTCTCGCCTTTACACAAACGGAGGTTTGCCGTCGGCGAAGAGTAGCTCCGGGTATCGATTGTTTGACGCGGTATCTCTCTCGCGAAAGTTCGCTAAACTGTATTCAGCCAGCAGCAAAGTTCGCGAAGCGTGGTCGATTCATGAGCAATTCCTTCAAAGCCGTCGACGCATGGAACGGCGGTAACAATGATTCTATGTAATTAATCGCGTGTAACACACTAAAAAATATAGACGTAGATTTATATGATGTGTATGTAATGCTCACCGTGTTAATATTAACACCAACACACTGAGAGACTCATTTAATTAAATTTAATCAATTTACTATAATATATTTAATATATAAATTCACATAGAAATTATTTAAGAAATTATCTAAGATCCAGCTTCGACTGTTGTAGGTATTTTGAACTCTTATTTGCAGTGAATCAATTTATTTCTTGTTTGAGTATGGATAAACAAAATCCTTGCTTGATACAATAAAATAATTTAGTTGAAGCAAAACATTTGGTTATTGTAACATTTTAACAAGTTTATCAGATGTCAATATTTATCTGAAACAAGTAAAATACTACAATATATAACCGAATGTTCTGTGCTTTAACTGAATTATTTTATTGCATCAACCAAGGATTTATTTGCCCATAGCCAAACAAGAAATTAATTGATTCAATTAAATAGATTTTTTAGTGCATGGGATGGTTCATAGTTTGTTTTTATCTCAAGACTGTCTTAAATAATGTTTTAAAATGCTAATACGGCCCTCTGATTAGTTCGTGACGTCTTTAGATTGTACTTAAGATGATCAAGGAAGGTTCTTAAATGTAATAACCGAGTATAAATATCGGTCAATGGTGTAGATTTAACACCGGAGGTTTTAAACAAGAAGGAGAGAATGGACGCGCCCAAGGTGTGGTTAAAACCCCTGATGTTTGCATTAACGCCATCGAAGGTGTGGATTTAAAACCCTTGGTGTTAAATCCACATCATGGAAGTGTACATTCTTCTGAATGTTCCCTAGGTACTATTTTATTCATGTTTAATATTCGAACAAAAGGATAAAATGATACCTGCGTGGTAAGAATCAACTCGGATGAGAATCAACATACCTTAATATTATTTTTTTAAACAATGATGATTTTAATTCTTTGATGATGTTGATGTAAACATTAGTTTTAAATTTATATCTTGATATATGTTTTAAATTCACCCTTTGATGTGTTGATACATATACTAGGAATTTTAAATCCATACCTTGATGGTATTAATACTAACACCAACACAGTAATAATTATAATATAGATATCGCATTAAATCTACATTTATATTTTTTAGAGTGTATTTTCGAATACATCTTCAAACGTACTGCGATGCTCTTGCAATTTATGTGTTGCGCCACGATCAAAAGATTGTATGGGTCGTTTGAGTCGGATTTATTTTTGCGTTTACGCGAAAGTCGGGTCGACTTTGATTGCTGGTATAAGTGAGATAACTTTTGTACGACAGGATAATGGGAAATTCTCTCAGTGCTAACGAGTTTACGTCACGTAATATTGTGTGCGGCTTAAGTTTCAAAGAAAAATTGACAATAAAACCCATACTTTTTTATTAGATTAAACTCGCAGCTCCAAGATAATTAAGAATTGCGCGGTTTATCACATCACTTACTATCGTCTCTCTTTAAAACGCTATAATAGAGGTCAGAGCTTAGTTGAGGGATACGCAATATCGATCCCGTTTTCTACGTTTTGGCTCGATTAATCATCTTGGTCATTCTATCCCATGACCATT